TCCCTGGCCCCAGGAGCAGGCAGGGCCACCGCCAGGGCTCCCCCCACAGACAGGAGAGGGAGCCTCGAGGGGGTAAGAGTCCTGCTTGGTGCTGGCGCCGGCTCCGACGCCTGGCCTCGCGGGGCCCTTGCCGGCTCTGTCTGCCATCGCGTGGGTGCTTGTGCCATGCCCAAACGGCCTGCACTGCCCGAGCCCGCCCAGGCCCATCTGCTCTTGAGGCCGAGACCAGCGGCCCGGAGGTGCCCAGCCCACCTGAGGTTCCACCACTCCTGGTTGTAGACGTCTTTCTGGATAGTGTTGTCGAAGACCTTCCAGCGGAACAGGTCTACCAGGTAGCTGAAGGGGACGGAGGCGATCTTCTCCAGGGCCACGCTCATCAGGAAGTTGACCTCGTGCTCTGGGAGGGCGGGGCCGTCAGGGGGCTCTGGGCCCCAAGGGCCCACCCGCTGCGGCCCTCGGCCGGTTGCGCCCTCACCTGCGTCCTGGTGCTGGATGCTGAGCAGCCCCCTGCTGAGCAGATGCTTGTGCGAGATGGCCGAGAGGGTGGCCGCCAGCCCCACGGCCTCCCCGAAGGCGGGGCTGGCTTCTGCCCGGAAGAGGACAGAGAGGTTCCTGTACTGCAGGAAGTACTGGATGTGGCCCATTTGGTGGAAGATGGACAGCAGGTCTTCCACGGTCACCTCCGTGCACTTCTTGACCCTGGGGCAAGGGCACGGTCAAGTGGCCTGGGAGGCCTGGGGAGAATGGGAGGCCCCCGCGAGGACTCCGGGGGGCCGGGATGGTCGGGCCGGAGCCCTCGTCCCGCTGGGCCGGTGTCCAAGCGAGGACCCTTTGGAGTCACGCCCGTCCTCCTCCCACGCCCCCTGCCCACGCCCCACCCACGCTCCCCAGGATGGGTGAGAGAGGGCCGTGCCCAGGGCCCTGGGCACCTGAAGTCATGGCCAGTGTAGAAGTCCCAGGCGGAGCTGTGGCACTCCACCACACGCCCGTCGGTGGGCATCTCCAGCATGGACTTGCTCCAGAACTCGAGCGGGGCGGGGAGCAGCCCCAAGGACATGAAGAACTGCTCAGCCTCTAGAAACATCTTCTCGGGACTCCAGTACTGCGGGGGGCACAGGGCTCGTGGGGTGCCGTTCTGTGAGCCGCTGGTGCCGGACAGACAGGGCAGGGACAGAGCGCGGCTGGGCACCCACCTGGCTCTTCATGATCTTGGTGATGTCCTCAGGGGTCTTCTTTGGGAAGGGCAAGACCAGGTCTAGGATGTTGACCCAGGACTGAGCCCACATGTTCCCTGGAAGAGGGGCGGGGCTGAGAGCAGGCCAGAGACAACCCCCCACCCTGGTCCTGCACGCCGCCGCCCGGGGCCAGGCCTTTACCCAGCAGGTGAGCCGGGATGGGCCCCCGCAGGTTGATGAGCTCCGGCCCGTAGTGGCGGTGCAGGGCGCGGCGCACGTAGGCGTGCAGGTTCAGGTACAGCGGCTGCAGCTCCTGGAACAGCCCCTCCAGGTCGGTCTGCAGCGTGTCCGACTCGTACCGGGAACGCCACAGGGCCCCCATGTCTTTGTGACCTGGGACGGGAGACAGGACTCACGGGGCACTCACCCTCCTGCCCTCCAGCCCTGGCCTGGCAGACAGGAGACCCAGGTGCCTGCCGGGGAAGCCGCTCGACCACCCGGACTGCAAGGTCTTCCTCGTCGGCTAGATGGGAAGGCCTCCCAGGGCGCTGTCCACGCTGGGTCAGATTGGAGATGGAGGAGCGCCACGCGGAGCCCGCGGTTCCAACTCCTCACCTCCAGCCAGGCCCCGCGTTCTCTGGAGCCCCATTCACCCCCCCGCAGCTCTTTCAGACCTTCCTCGGGCGTCCCCCACCCATGGAGCCTCTGCCGAGGACCCTCTTCTGCCTCCTGCTCACCTGGCCCTTGGCCTCTTCCAGAGGCCTTCCCTGACCGCGTCTCTGCAGCCTCTGCCCACCGTCTCCCTGCCCCTTCCAGGTCGGCTTCAGTTCCCGTGGACATCAGAGCTGTGTGTTTGTCTCCGGCAGGACTGTAGGCCCATGAGGGCAGGCACCCACCTGGGCTTTCCTTTTTTTTTTTGAGTCAGAGTCTCACTCTGTCGCCCAGGCTGGAGCATAGCGGCACGCTCATGGTCACCACAGCCTCGACCTACTGGGTTCAGGTGATCCTTCCGCCTCAGCCTTCCAAGTAACTGGAACTACAGGCACGCACTACCACACCCAGCTAATTTTT